AACGGTATGGACTCTTCCAAACCGTACCAATGCGGAACCTTCCGAGCTACGCGTGGGACAGGGCGACGTCGGCTGGGACCGCTCGGGCGAGGCTGCAAGAATCACAGGGCCAACGGAGATTTAAGTCGCCCAGGACTAGGATGACGATCTGTACTTTCAACGCACGGACGCTTGCATCGGAAGCTCACATCGAAGATCTGATGTTGCAAGCCAGGAAGATCAAGTACGACGTCATCGGACTGACCGAGACGAGGAGGCATCGCCCGCTACACGCCGTATACGAGACTGGAGACTGTTCCTCGGAACATGCGACAGCAGAGGCGTTGGCGGTGTGGGCGTCCTCGTCAACACGCACTTGGCCATGAACATCGATTCGTACGAAAATCTGACGACCCGATCGGACGTTTGCAAATGAGAACTCCAGCTTTGACAATCTTCGTCGCCTACGCACCAACATCAAGCTACGACGAGGATGAGCTCGAAGCGTTCTATATGGAATTGGAGAAGTTCTACAAGGAAGATCATACCTTCTTCAAGGTCATCGTCGGTGATTTCAACGCTAAGATCGGACCAAGAAGAACGGCTGAAGAACTTCACATCGGAACTCACGGAACGGAGTGGAATGAGCAGGGTGAAAGGCTGTCTGAGTTTATCATGTCGACCCATACCATCCATGGTAACTCGCAGTTCCAGAAGCCCTACTCTCTACGCTGGACATGGGAGTCTCCTGGTGGACAATTCCATAATGAGATCGACCACATCATCTTCAAAGGTTTTGCCTGACCGATGTCGCTGTTGTTCCTAAGTTCTACACGGGATCCGACCACCGTCTCCTTCGCGCAAGATTCCGCTTTTCGATGCGAGGAGAGAGAGCCGCAAAGTTCAAGAAGCGAAGCCCCAAGACCGTCATCAACTGGGATCACTTCACTTCTCTCGCTGGGCTCTGGGAGGATTCCGTCATCGACAACATCGACGAGGAATACGAACGGCTTGTCGCACATCTTCACGACTGCGCCAAGAAGTCAGAGAGTTCCAAGATTACCAAGAAGCGTCTATCTCTGGAAACTCTCGAGCTGATTCGCCAACGTGGAGCCGCACGAGCCGCAGGCAATTACCAGCTGACGTCTGAGTTTGCGAAGCTATGCAGAGAAGCGATAAAGGAAGACCTCAAGGAGAAAAGACCGCTAGACGACGCAACCATACCGCTTGGCAGCAGGATGGATATGTCGTTCCTGCAGTTCTCCCTTCCGAAGTCCGACACGCCATCTCGTCGGTGAAGAATCGTACGGCACCCGACAGGATCAGACCCGAACATCTGAAGAATCTTCCGCCAGTTCTTGTCAAAACTCTGGCTCGACTCTTCACGCGCTACCTGTCGGAATGCAAGGTACCCACCTCGTGGAAAACCAGCAAGACTGTGTTGCTGTACAAGAAGGGAGACCTGTACGACATTGGCAATTATCGCCCAATCTGCCTGCTGTCTGTAGTCTACAAACTCTTCACACGAGTCATCCTGAACAGGATTGGCAGAACACTAGACGAAGGACAGCCATGCGAGCAAGCAGGGTTTCGAAGAGGATTCAGCATGATTGATTAAAGGCACGGAAGTATCGCGATGTAGAAGATGGCGTTAGGTCTCACGTTCATCGGCTTGAAGAAAGCTTTCTATTCCGCTGAGACAGAAGCGGTTATCGAAGCCTTGGGCAACCACGGTACTAATGCTCAGTACATCAGGATTCTTCGTGAGCTCTACAGCAACTTCACGACCAAGGATCTCACCATTCTACAAGGAGATCATCATTGAGTGAATAGAGGTCCGTCAGGACGACGCCTTTCGGCGCCAAAGCACTTACAATGCGCTGCTTGCTTCCGGAAAACGTGATGCGTCGACTGGATGGGAATAGGCATGGGAGTGAAGATCGTGTCGGTAACTACACCATAACGAGCTTTGCTGGATTCGTGTTTGACACACGAAATATAAGACGCAACGCGAAGCGAATGTTGGCCATGATTTCGACTGCGCACATTTGGAAAAAATCGGTCTACGGCTGAATCTAACTAAGGCTATGTTCATGAAAAACGGTTTGGTTTCTGATGCCGCCTCCACGCTCAACAGGACGACCATCTCTGAACGCTCTAGCTATGTGCACCTATGTCGTGAAATCAATATGCTGAATGACTTAGCACCAGAGCTGAGCAGGAGGGAACGAGCGGCTTGGGGAGCTTCAAGAACATCGAGGGAGTAGCGAAGAGACCGAAGAGCACCGGCGCGACCCCTCTTTTTCGAATGCCCCGGCGTCCTTCCTGCCTATGACTTATCGCCTCAGAAACTTTGGACCGTCTACAAGAGCAGGAATATGCACATGCGGTTGGCGTTATTAAACGCCAACCGCATGCTCATCATTATCAAAGGTCCATGTTCGGGATTTCCCGCTACACGCAAGTGAGAGACGGAATCCGGAGCTCCGCAGCTGTCAGAGAACGTTACGAGAAGTTACTGCCGCCCGCTCGAGGAACTCTATGATCAACGGGAACACAGGTGATGCAGGCGATACACAGGCGATTCATTTATTTTTATTTAATTATTTATCTATTTGATTGCTCCATTTGCCGTTTCGTATCTGACACCTTCAAATCAAAGTGGACACACTCTTCACCCCGGCGCAGGGTAATTTCTCACATGACACTCAGATGCTACCCCCAAACATTTCGCCTGAGATAACACTCCACTTTTGCGGCAGTGCGGTTTTTTCAACACGGGTTCACTTTCTTAAGAGCGTTCTGCTTTTAATTGCTTTTTTTACACTGATGCTACACTCATACATGCACAACTAAGAAGCGTTGACACACACCAACAAAAAAACGACTCTGCGTACCATTTGAAGAATTTGTTGCCGATGGCGAACCTTCATAATTTTTCTGAGTCGTCGCTTTCACATCCTCTTCTCATCAGCCAAGGACTTATAGAGGTATATTATGCACAGGCTAGCTAGGTTCCGCCCTTTCGACCACTCCCACTTCTTATTTTCTTTGTGCGGGACTTTCATCCTTCATCAAGATTTCCAGAAAAATTACTATTACCTTCGTTATCAAATCCGTGTGTGATCTCGTGCCCGATTACAGCTCCAAGTCCTCCGTAGTTGAGCGCTCTGATGGAACAGATTTCTACACTGTTAATCTCCACCTTCAAAGCAGGCCAATTGCATTCTCAGAGTAGAGCGTAGTTAGGAACCGAAAAATCGCGGGACAAGCATATTGGCGTTCGAAATCACTGTTGTACTCTCATGCTAGGATATCTGTATATACTGAGTGACAGAAAATACGTGTGTGTGGTGTTGACTTATTCATCTAATTAAAGGAGTTGCAGCTAGCGAAGATCAAAATTTTTCGTTTAAAAGAGCAATTGGGCTAGTTTTAGCTACTCACAGGGTCGAGCGCTGATTTATGACCGAAGTGACTGAGGGTCTTCTCCGAGTTTGTACCTGAATCCTTGCGGTATCCTTCGTGAAACGAGCAAACTGAGGAAATTTACGTGAATTCGGCGAACTACTTCCACAGCATCATCGGTATCAGAAGGAATAAGTCGAGCCGTTTATAAAAACGATGAGAGTAAGCTCGAGAATTCTTCATGAATGTATAATGTCCTGCTACAAACTTTCGCAATGTGACTTCCTTTAGGGCATGAGTTCCTTCGAGTTTCGAATCTTGAGTGTTGAGTTCTGGGAAATCAGCGTTTTTATGACGCACGTGATTTTTTTACTAGTATAGCGCTCCGGAACACATATGCAAATCTCTCACACTCGGGTAATGCTTTTTTCAGAGGGTCAGTCTGGTCAATGTTTACCTTGGAAAAGAATGATGGAAGTTTCGCTTGTAGAAAAGCGGCAGGTAGCTCTGGAATATAAAAGCATTAGAGAGAATCCTCCTCAAATTGTGAGCAGAGCTGAGGATTGACAACTCTGAATACGTACCTAAGCCGTTCACTTGGAGATCGTAAAGACCGCCGAAGAAATCTGTAGCATCCATGAAAGTCTCAGCTCGATCGACGGGTTCAGAGAGGAGCTCGAAGTTGCGTTCTGATTCCCATCGTAACATCTTCTCTACCATCTGACTGTACGAATCCGTTTCTTCGACGGAGAACTAAAAGTAAATTGTCACAGTATTGGAGCCCTTTACCCTTCGTGTTATCCATCTACCAAACTACGTTAAGAAACGTTGCTCAGTATTCTTTTAACGTGTGAGTGCTTCGCGAGGAGCCTGTTAAGGACATTTTGCTGTTGAATGCTGTCACTCACGTTGCTATAGAAATTGTCCAATTGCTTGCTGTCGAGGATGAACTCCGGATAAGCGACGTGAATCAACATCTCTTTTGTTTTCTCGAGAGCAGCCTGAAACAGAATTCTTCTTCTCCTTATTCTTCGGCTTTTTCAATTAGTGCGAGTGCAGCGAGTCAAGCTGACGTTGCCTAGGGTGTTCCCCAAGGTCATTGCCCGAACACTCAAGCTAGAGCCCAGTCTCATAGACGCTGCTGCCTCCGGAGTACGTAATACGTGGCCACACCATCAGAGACAAGATTCTCGCATTTTACCATCAACGGGAGCTTGCCCAATATCCTTCTGTGTGTTACCGTTGCAGATCCGACCCGTACGCTTCAAATCGTCATCCAAGGTGGAATTCTCGTCTCCACACGCTAAGGCAGGCTCAAACTTCCTTGGTCGCATTTCATCAAGCCCCGTACACCAGTCTTTCGCAGTTATAATGATCTTCGAGTGGAGATCTTCAAAGTATCGTCGTTTTATCACAGAGGCTCCCAGTAATGGAGCGTCACTCCATCCATGCTCCACTCACGCACGAGTTCACCTCTAATTCAGGCTGCCATCGAGCACAGTGTCCAGTTCAAGGCAATTAAAAGTTCTTGCACTCTTAACTCGATGTCACTGATTTCAATGGAATATGAGTCGCTCGAATCGATCAACATACTTGGTTTTCTTGATGTTCGACCTGAGCACGAACTCTAGGCGGTAGACCAAGCGTGCACATGTTGCTCGAGATCGTTTTGATCTCCATCGGATGAGCACCATATCGTTTGCCTAGAGAGGCGTCCGAGGACTCGGTTCCTGAAGAGTTGCTCCCATGACGATTCCATAACGAAGTGGGAGAGCGCAAAGCCTTTGATGTCGCTACCAGTGATTGGGAAACTCTTGCCAAACAAAAAGTCTACTGTTATAGCGCAGTCTCTTTGGAGCAGAAGGTACAGGACATGCGCGCGGCCACTCAACAAGCTCAATGAGAACGCCGTGTTGCCTCGAGGTGTGTCGTATAGCTCCACGTTTAACAGGATCGATTACCTTCTCTAGGCCCAGAAAAGCTAGATAAAGTGCCTTTCGCTTCTCACGATAGTTCACGATATATAGCGTAGATAGCGATCATCGAAAGCAAGCCGCATGCTGTCAACGATTCGGTCTAAGATCTTCATGCTGTGGGGCAGTAGGCAAATCGTACGATAGTCGGAGCAGTTCTTCCTATACCCTTCTTCCGAACCAGAACCGTCCTGCTGTTTAGCCAGCCCTTGAGCTTCTTTTGATCAGCAACCACCGAAACCGTCAACCACTCTGCAGAGTACTACCGACTCTCACTGATCGCCGCCCTGTCCCATCGTCAGGTACTGCTGCTTAGCCTGAGTTCATGTCCTCCGTCTCCTCTGAGGTTATCCTCTAAACGGGATCATAATCTAGAGAGGCGAAAGATGGTTGAGTGTATAATCTGCGGTTTAAATATCCTCGAAGATGTCGCATCATCTTCTCAGCACCCTATTTTCGGTCCGTCGAAAGACGGCCACGCTCGTCGTAGTGCCGCTCTCTATCGCGTGAATCAGACTCCTTACTGTCATCTTTGAAATGGGCGGCCTTCACAGCAGCCGCAGCTTGATTCGCTGCACCCTTGGCTTACTTCTGCCAGCTATTAGCTGACTTTTTTGACGTGGTGGCGCCTTTTCGCATTCGTTTGTTCGACGCTGTTGGTCCATTCATGCTGCTTGTCAATTTCGAGCTTTCCAGACGTTGTGATGTCAAGAATGGAACTAGCCTCATGCAATGCTTTGGCCGCACCTGCCTGGGTCTCCCAGACAGTCGTGGCAGTGGGAAGTCGAATACGAGAAGTTACAGCTTCCTCCTTCTCATCCCAAACGCCACCATTTTTTCTATCCGTTCCGCTCGACCTGCTTGGACCTGGGAGTCGCGACTTGCAGCATACTGCTTAGTGAGCGTTTTGAGGCAGCTGTCCTGTACGACACAGTCTTCTCATCTTTGTCGAGCCTCGGTCGCAATGTCTAACAAAACAAATCCGTGTTTTGGTACTCCCAACTCTAGAAAATTATGAGGTGTGAGTCACCTTTACAAAATTCGTATTCACGTTGACGAGGTTATAGGTCAGGTCATATACTTGAGAACTCGCTCACCATCGGCGTTACGTAACCCACAACCGGAACCTATATGGAAGATGTAGCCGTCTTTTGTAGCGCCCAAGTGCCCGTTAAAGTCATCAGCGACAATGACAGCGTTTTTTGACGGTAACTCAGCTGTCTTGTCTTCAGACAGAGAAAGATTTCGTCCTCCAATCGCCCTGTACATCCCCTCTGCAGAGCATACGCAGAAAAGTGGAACAGTCGTTGCTCTCAGAAGAACAAACTTAGTCAAGCGGTCCGTGTTGCAGTAGACCGCTCAATGCTTATGGGTCACTGTCCAAGGTGATAATATGAGTGGTTGTTTACACCATAGTGTTATGCAGTGATAGGTCATCTTGGGTCTATAAAAGACCCTCTGTGCGGTGTGTTGTCAATTGTCGTCTCGTGCTCTAATAAAGCACTCTCGCCCGAAGTCGTAACACTGGCGATCAGGATGAAATTGTATATTCCAACAGATTATCGATTCCATGATAGCAGGATTGCACGGCGTCGCAGCTTATCTGGACGACATAATCGTTACCGGACGCACTACTATGGAGCATCGCCAAAACCTGGAAGCACTTCTCCAACGAATAGAGCTATACGGATTCCGAGTACGAGAAGAAAAATGCCATTTCATGATGTCAGAGATCAAGTATCTTGGAAACATCATCGATGCCAATGGTCGACGTCCAGATCCCGAAAAGATTCGCGCTATCACAGAAATGCCAGAGCCGAAGGATATCGCACAACTTCGTTCGTTTCTCGGAATGCTGAACTACTACGGAACATTCATTCCTGAAATATGCCAACTTCGCGCTCCCCTCGACGCCCTTCTGAAGAAGAACGCTCAGTTCAAATGGACAAACGAATGTCAGAACGCTTTTGAGAAAGCCAAAGAAATTCTGGTCTCACCACTCCTGCTCACACATTATGACCCACCCACAATTGGATCTCATTGTTGCAGCAGACGCTTCTGACTATGGCATTGGAGCCGTAATCCTGCACCGCTTCGCAGATGGATCAGAGAAAGCAATCAGCCACGCCAGTTGAACTCTCACAGAAGCAGAGAAGAAATATGGCAGAAAGAAGAAGAAATATTCACCAGCATATACTGGAAATCGACTACTGCGTTGGTCACTAAGTGACTTCAGGATTGACAACAGATTTCGGACAAGCCGATGCATTGTCACGACTGATTGCCGACCAAAAGGAGCAAACCGAAGATATCATCATTGCAAACGCCTCAAATGATGCTGAATTCGAATGCAAGGCTGTGAAAGCACAGATTCCCATGGACATGAATCAGATCGCAGAAGAAAGTCTTGCAGACAATACGCTGAAGAATGTGATCCAGTACGTTCGTGAAGACAAATGAAACCTACGCCGGAGATCAGATCTTACTTCAGTCTCCGCCAGTCTCTCTCGCTCCAAGACGACTGCCTTTTCTTTGGACCAAGAATTGTGATTCCGGCGAAGTTCAAGGACCGTGTTCTGAAACTTCTACACGAAGGACATCCCGGAATGTCAAGAATGAAGAGCCTAGCCCGCTCATATGTCTACTGGACAAATATCACAAAGGACATAGAAGATTATGTTCGAACCTGCAGTAGCTGCCAAGAAGCGGCCAAAGCACCAGTCAAGACACAGCTATTCTCCTGGCCATACGAACAGAAACCATGGTCACGTATCCACGTGGGGTCAGTCAATGGACAGATGTTCCTCATTATAGTGGATGCATACTCAAAATGGCCAGAAGTCATAGAAACGTCTTCAACCACAAGCAAGGCTACAATACGGCAACTGAACAGAGTGTGCACCCGATACGGATATCCCGAAACCTTAGTTTCGGACAATGGAAGCCAATTCACATCATTGGAATTCGAGAACTTCTGCAAAACGAATGGGATCGTCCATATACGCAGTCCACCGTACCATCCACAATCGAATGGACAAGTCGAAAGATTCGTCGACACTTTCAAACGTGGACTGGAGAAGCTGAAGGAATCCGAAGCAACAACAGAGGCCGTACAGAAATTCTTGCTATCCTACCGCAGCACACCATGCTCATCTTCACCCGAAGGACGATCACCGGCAGAGAACTTCCTAGGACATCGTCTCCGAATGCCGCTCACTCTTCTGACGACACCTAGACCGACAGCGCGGAACAAGTTTATGGAAAATCAGTTCAACAGACACCATGGAGCCCGCATGAAATCGTTCAAGCCAGAAGAGCCCGTGTGGGTGAAAGCATTTCAAAGAGGCAGAAAGAAATGGATACCAGGAAAGATCCTCAACTGCCGCGGAAATGCAGTGTACGACGTACGTGTGAATGAAGCAGTAGAATGCCGTCATGCCAATCAACTACGTCCACGCATGGCCGCCACACCAGAACAGACATCACTGGAAAGCTACGACTTATCACCTGAAATAGCACAGCGTGCGAAACCGTCGTCTCAGAATCCAGTGAATATGACAGCAAGCGATGCAAAAATGAATGGTTCAGAATCAGAGGCTACTCCCACCATTGCATCTCAGGGGGAGGTGTTGTAGTAGATTGCTCATGCTTATGGGTCACTGTCCTAGGTGATAATATGAGTGGTTGTTCACATCCACAATGTTATGCAGTGATAGGTTATCTTGAATCTATCAATTGTCGTCTCGTGCTATAATAAAGCACTCTCGCCCGAAGTCGTAACAGTCAGCGAGGCGTTCTACTCTTGAGTCCCGGAGACGTCGAGAGACGAATAGAGCCCTCCGCTGATGGTCGTTGGCTCACCACCCTGCCACAAAGGAATGGTTTAAAAGCTTCGCCCTTTGACTTGCAACTGGGTCATCTTGTTCCCTGCGCAGCACAAAGGTCTATTCTTTTGCTCTCCAGTGCCTCTGCCAGCTCACTAGACGTCCCGTCAACGTCCAACA